TAACCACCAAACTAAGCTGCCTTCTGTGTGCTTCATTAGTACCCTCTGTATACTCCTCTGGGAGCACTTGACACAATTATAATTGCTTACGTTAGTGAGAAATAAACTACTAGAAGGCAGGGACTGTATTTCATTCACACACACACACACGCGCACACAATGCCTGACACATAGAGCTCAGTATATATTTGTTGAATTAGTAAATGAATAAATGCCCTCTGGGGAGATATACAGCAAGTCTGATACAACTACTACGGTTTTCCTTTATCTTTTCTTGGCTACCTATGCTCATGTCCTTCAACCATTTCCAATAAGAAAATGTTTGGTATTCTTGCCGTCCTTATTGCCCTCCTTTGCATTTTTCTCAAGTTCAACAATGACCCATCTAAAGGGAAATGTCAGAATGTGAACACTGTACTTGCAGAATAGTCTGACACCAGCCCTGGATCCAGTATGACTGTTCTCTCCTGTCTTTGTGGTATATACTCATTATCTAGGACTCCCTCAGGAGTCCACTCCTGCCCCTGAACTTTTTGTATGGCCGGACAGGTTCTTGACTATGAAACTAAGCACCCAGAGTGACCCTTAGGCCTTCATTAGTGGTCTAGGCAGGTAAGCAGAATCCATTAAACTCTTCCTCCCCTCCCCTCCTCTCCCTCCTCTACCCTTTCCATTCTAGAAGGGGCTGTAAGGAAGGGAAAGGGATTCCGTAGGTCTTAAGGGAAGAAAACAGGTTATGGTTGATGAGGGAGTTGGGGCAGGGAAACTGCATCTTTCAAACTGGAACCCAGAGAATGTGGCAATTTTTTTGCTTCATGTCATGACTACAGGGAGTTCTCTTGTAAGAAAAAAATAGCATCATTGGCCTGTATTTAAGGGGATGATGGGACATGATGTTTCAGTTTGGACATGTTTTGAAAATTCTTTTATCAAAGTGGACAAAAACATTTGCAATGTTTCTGTTGGGCTCCTCAAATTGGGAAAGTGCAGACTCTGGCTTCCATCAAGACTAAAAACACTGACAAAAAGCGAGATTCAGCTATTAGATAAACTGGCAAACACGCACTATAAATTTTGTATTCCAACCAGGGTTTTTGTTTTTAGTAGTTTGGGGTAGAGGTTACTTTGGGTGATTAAGTGCTCCATTGATTGGACAGACACTCCGGGCTCCATTCCTCCAGGCGGGATCAACGCCCCGGGCCCTCGGAGCCGCCCTTTGCAGGACTCACTTGCTGGAGGGCGGGACCGCGTCGGCGGGGGCGCGCTGCCTAAGCGTCGTCGGCGGGTGGGAGCGGAGGAAGGAAGGAAGGCGCCCTGGGAGCGCGCGAGGCCACACGTTCGCGCGCGCTCGCGCGCCCACGCGCCCGACCGCACTCCCGGGAAGTCTCGCGATGCCGTAGCCGGCTGCTCCCGCTGCGGGTGGCTCTGGCTGTTGCTGTGGTTGCCTGAGTTGCTGCTGCTGCGGCGGCGGCGGCAGCGGCGGCACTGGTGGAGGTGTCGGCCCTTGGGCGGATGTTGACATTGTGTTGTTGTTATTGCTGATGGTAATGGCGGCGGCGGCGGTGGCGACGGCCGGGACCCCATCTCTGTAGCCGGAGCCGAGGCAGCCAAGAGCGAACTCCGCGGCCTCTGAGCCCGAGGCAGCGACTCCCCTCAGCCTCCGCCGCCTCGCCTGCCCGTTTCCCGGCCGCGGCCCCGGCCCCTGGAGTCAGGCCCCTTTGGGCAGGGGGCCTCGGAGGCTCAGGATGGCGGATTTCGACGAGATCTATGAGGAGGAGGAGGACGAGGAGCGGGCCCTGGAGGAGCAGCTGCTCAAATACTCGCCGGACCCAGTGGTGGTCCGCGGCTCCGGTCACGTCACCGTGTAAGGCCCGGAGGAGGGGAGGGCGAGGACGGGAAGGTGCAGGGCTGGGGTGGGCCCCCCCCCCTTTACTCCTCGGGAGCCCTCTTTCCCCGGTGTCCGTCTTGTGTCGGGGCCTTCGGGAAGAGTAGGCGACCAGGAAGTGAGAACTTGCTTTAATTTCGTTTGTTTCGATCTCCGGAGGGGGCACAGACACTGCCCTTCCTCCCCCACACGCCCCCTTTAGCAGGCCCTACAGGCCTGGGCGATGTGACGGATCCCAGGAGCGAAGGTTTTTCTTGAGTCTGCCCTTTGGGCCACCTCTTCAGCTTCGGGGTGGAAGTACACGTATTTATGAGGTTCCTCCCCCTTGTTTTCTCTTCCAGTTACCCTGTGGTTCTCTCCTCTCATCTGTGCCTTTGAGCCTAGTGACATATGGCTCAGAGGCCAGATCTGGGCCATGTGAGACCCCAGTGACAATTGGTAATGAGTGGTTCACCGTTGTGTCTGTGCCTTTCACACACACTCACAGGTCTTCCCAGTTTCTTGCAGAGTCAATTTCTGCGGAAACGCAGGTTCCTGTAATTGTATATGATAAAAATGTGTGGATGAACCTAAATTTAAGATCTGCAGAACGATATATGTTTACTACCAGTTTTTAAAAAGAAATCTACGTGCTGGACACACTCTGCTGGGGTTACTGAGTTCTCTCTGTAATCAGAGCCTCCTTTGGGCATGAACTCTGGGATGGCTTCTTCATTTGATAAGGGTTCCTTCCTGTAAGTCTGATTTGCAACATTTAAAAGTCCGATGTTATTCAAACAATAAGGAATGAGAGCTTTGTAAAAAGGTCATGACTAATAAAGGAATGTGAAGACTTGAACCAAATAATGAGCTGTCCGGAAGCAGGAAGTTTTGTAATGTTTGTCTGAGAAGTCCAGAGTTGTGTACAACTTGAAGTATTTATATTCTTCATTTTAGATCTCTTGTTCAAATCCTAGATCAAACTTGTATGCTTGTCAGAAATCTCCCCACTACACCCTTCTAGTAAAATAAAAGGGCCAGCAGATCCGAGACTGTCTGGAACAGTTTTCGTTGCGTTTTTGGTGTGGGGTGAGTGGGATGTGCAGTGAATAACTTTTAGTGAAAAGGTAAGACTCCTTATAGAAGATTTTCAGCAAAATCCTTGTATTTCTCACTACGTGATATGACCAGCCATATTGTTGTTTGGGTGTGCTTATGTAATGCTTTGATTTCTTTAGCACCTGTTAGTCTATATTCAGGTGACTTAATAGGGTAAAAACACTGCATAATCATTGTCACAGTGCCATGGGAAGACAATGGGATTTATCACCACAATAACAGTTACTTAGTATTTTAACTGTCATCTCCAGCAGAATTAAGAAGTTTCATGGATATTAAATCTTTTTTTAACATGTATTACAGAACTTTTTTTAGTCTCATAGCCTGCCATTTAATTTTTTAGTTTGACACTCAGGACCTGTTTACCTACCTACATACATACATACATACATTTATTTATTTATTTATTTTCTTTTTACATTGTTTTAAACCTAATGAGTGTATGTGTGCATAAAGAAGGGATTTTTTTTTTTCAAACTCTTTGATGCTATCTCCCTGCCTTTCCCCCCTAAATTCCTCTTGTTAAAGAAAAGCAGGCAATTTTTTTCTATTTAAAAAGGCGCTGCTAGAGTTATAATGTTTCCTCTGTTTAAGGAAAAGAAAAACTAAGCACTTTGTTGGGTAAATAGAAAATATAATAGATAAAGTGCTCAGAACTAAGTAGGTGATTAGTAAATTTGATTGTAGTTGGCTACTCAGAGAGGTTAATGGGGTGGGAAATGATTATTAGTGGTTTTCAATCTCACTGCCCATTAAAATTACCTGCGGAAATTAAACAAACAAAAGAACAACACAAGAAAAGCGGCGTTTTCCCCAGGGCCAGGCCAGTTGAAGGCCTAGTATCTGAGTGAGGTCCCAGGCCTGGATGTTGGTTTAGAAAGTCCTACAGGTGATTCTAATGTACAGGCAGAGTTGAAAACCTCTCATCCTGAGTATGAGGAGGGACTACATGCCCCCAGTAAGCAGTATGCCTTTCTGCACTGGAGTTCATGTTTCTGTGCTCTGTCTCAGTCACTTTCCCTCTTTTCCCCATTACCTTGGTTCTAGGCTCTGGGTTCAAATCTACTGTCTGCCACTTGGGTAAATTATTTATGCCTCTTCAGTTATGATGGGGATCGTTATAGTCCTTAATTTTTAAGGTTATTAAGGATTAAATGAGACAGTATACGCCAGGAAATCATCACATTGTGTGATACTGTGCCCAATAAATATTAACCTTCATTAGTTACCCTCTATATTTAAAAGTGTTCCACTTTGAGAAACATAAGTGTAAAGCACAGTACTAAGAAATCCGAACTGCCATTTTCAAACCTAACAGTGATTGACTTTAGTCCTATTTTTCCATTTCTTTTTTTAAAAAATTTTTTTTTCAACGTTTATTTATTTTTGGGGGGACAGAGAGAGACAGAGCATGAACGGGGGAGGGGCAGAGAGAGAGGGAGACACAGAATCGGAAACAGGCTCCAGGCTCTGAGCCATCAGCCCAGAGCCTGACGCGGGGCTCGAACTCCCGGACCGCGAGATCGTGACCTGGCTGAAGTCGGACGCTTAACCGACTGCGCCACCCAGGCGCCCCTATTTTTCCATTTCTAAACAATGTATATGAGGTTAAATTACTATGTGAAGTATTTGCCTGAAAATTAGTGAGAATCTTCATTGAAAACCTAAACCTGTTTTGTAACGACATAGATAATACATAGTAATACAAAACTTTTTACATGACTCTGTCATACATAATTCACTGGCATACTATGCCCGTGGGTAGCCCACTTAGTGCCTATAAGGTTTTTGAAATTGGCTCTTTTTTTAAAAAAAATTTTTTAAAGTTTATTTATTTTTGAGAGAGAGCGAGCGAGAGCGAGCGAGCACAAGCTGGGAAGGGGCAGAGAAAGGTGGAGAAAGAGAATCCAAAGCAGGCTCCAGGCTCTGAGCTGTCAGCACAGAGCCCCATGCAGGGCTTGAACCCACAAGCTGTGAGATCGTGACCTGACCAAAGTTGGACGCTTACCCGACTGAGCTACCCAGGCACCCCTGAAATTGGTTCTTATGGGTTACTATAACTGTTGAGCATGTTCAGTTTTTCTTACCTTTAAATATAAATAAGAGTTGTTAAAACAGTTGTAGTAAAGCTGCTGCTGCTCCCACCCTACCTGTTTTTTTTAAACTAAGGAGCTCTTCAGAGCAGTCTTCTCTTACAGGTTTGGAAGTAAATGATAGTGCCACCTGAATCGTCTGTAATCCTGATCAATCTCAAAACATACCGATTCATCCATATTTGTTTTTCATAGATTTCACTTTTGAGTAGACCTTTATATCTGAATATTTCCACTCTTTTTTCCTCCCTACCATAATAATCATTTTATAGTATTACTCTTACTTTATTTTAGAAATTACTGTGTTCTCACGTGACATGATCTGGCATGTCATTATAGTAATGTGAAAAAGTAAGATACCTTCCATTTTCTCCTACATAGGCAGGTCGTGGTTATTTTGGGGGTATAATTGTATAATCAGATTTTTGGGATATAAGGATGTAAAACAATTTGTCTAAACAAAGTCTGTTTTAATGTGTTTTTAACACAAATATTTTTACATCTATTGCAAATCAGACTTCTACTTTGTACTTCCATCATGATCAGTATTCTTTTTTGACATTCTTCTGGATAAGTTTAATAATTTTCTTCATTGCTAGATTTGCATGTAACAATGTGGAACAGAGTGGCATCTCCAACAGGGAGAAATCTTATACAGAAGCATATTTTGAGGAAAGGTGGTATTTGAAGGAAGAGGGAAATAAGTTCCTATTGCATAACATTTATGTGCATGGAATTTAAGACGAGTTCACACTTCAATTAAAAGTACATTTCCTGTGTGTGTGTGTGTGTGTGTGTGTGTGTGTGAGAGAGAGAGAGAGAGAGAGAGAGAGAGAGAGAGAGAGAGAGAGAGAGTTTTCTCATTTTATTATGTAATGAAAATGAGGGGAAAGTGATTATCTCATTAGGGGGTATAGGCGAGATTGGTTAATATTCTTAAATTATAAAGTTTTTTTAGTCTTCAGTAGATTTGTCAAAATATAGTGATCATTGTTGAAGACTTTGATTTTTCACAATGATGACAGTATTAAAGGATTTCATCTAAAACTTAGAATTTAAAAATAGTTTTTAGATCAGTATTTTCTAGCTGATCTATCATAACTGACATTATTTGCTTCTGTCTCATTTAATGCCCTCCCATATCAGAATCACACTTGGGGCTTTCCTAGGGCATATATAATCTTTGACTTCTAACTTAAGTCCTGTCAAAGAGGCAAGTTATTTTGCTAAGGTTTGTTTCTAATAATGTTATTCTCTTTTAATTTCACTAAATTATTGTATCTTCATGTACTCTCTTCTGAGGTATAATCTTCCTACCATCTCCACAAATAATTGCTCATTCTTCAGTACCAGTTTTTACCAATGGCTGTGGAACTCACTCTCTTTGCTTGTCTTCATGTCAGGTATGCTGTGGAAAATTGAAAGATTTAGAATGGGGCTTGAAATGAAAAAACTTGGAAACTACTTTGGGGTGCAATAAAATCTTTGCATAGGAGACATCACAAGAACACGTTGACCTTTCAAATGGTAGAGTTAATAAAAAATGGTCTATCTTGAAATGTATCAGTATTCCAAGACTGCTACCAGATGCTGTAGTTAGCAACAGGAGATCTGAATGTGATTTTCCCGAATAACAGAATCACTTCAGTTAAACAAGTTTTTTAACTTCATAGCTTTCACCTTCTGTCCTCCACCCAGCATGATATGTAAGGTGTATTCCATTTTTATTTTATTTTATTTTATTTATTAAAAAATATTTTTTAATGTTTATTTAATATTGAGAGACAGAGAGAGATAGAGCATGAGCAGGGGAGGGGCATAGAGAGGAGGAGACACAGAATCCAAAACGCTCCAGGCTCTGAGCTGTTAGCACAGAGCCCGACATGGGGCTCGAACCCACAAACCGCGAAATATGACCTGAGCCAAAGTCAGATGCTTAACCGACTGAGCCACCCAGGTGCCCCAGGTGTATTCCATTTTTAAAGATTAAACTTTTGTTCTGAAATTTTTTTTTAAGACATTATTGATCTTTCTCCATAAGGCTGTGAAGTTGTTTGAAGGCAGGAATTGTGGTTATTAGTTTGTATTTCTCCACTATTTAATCTAGTGTCTGGAATTTTATGGGTCCTAAAATGTTTGCTAAATAAATGAGATAATTGCATACATCTTTGGATCTTGTCAGAATTGCCAAAGAAGTAACTGTTTTCTTTCCTGAACCTCCTGATGAAGGCAAACAGTGTTTTACAATAGAACTCTTATAAAATCATATTCAAATGATAACTGGCTTCCTTTTTTTTAAAAAAAAATTGATAATTTTAAGGAAATTGTAAAATTAAGGTAAGATATTTTTTCCCCAGATAATAATTTCCCAGATAATAATTTCATTATTTCAAAGGAAATTAGTTTGATTTAGAATATAGAGTTGAACATATCTTTTGGTAACTAACACAAAGAAAAAGAATGCTAAACACTTTAATCGGATCAGCTACCAAAACTTCTCAGTGGGTAAACTTTCTTGAAGAAATGAGGATTATGGCTGTAAGCTGAAGTTTCAAAATTTTACTGTATTCGAATATGAAATTTACATGGTGTTTCACTGTAAACAGTTCAGTGTTGGATTTCTGCCTGTTAACAGATGTGAAATTGACTAGTGCTTAAAATTTTATGTGGCTAGCTAAGTGCAATACAGGGACTAAATGGTGAAAATGAGTTATATGAAATTGTAATTACTTAAATACTATTCTAGATAACATTACTCTGAATAATAATATTTCTCTAAAGAGTAATATTTTTACTTTGAGAGCTACTCCTAAACTCCAGCTTGAGTTTATATTCCTTCATTTATTTATTTATTTATTTTAGAGAGTGCCATCGTGAGAGTGTGGGAGTGGGGGAGAGGGGCAGACGGAGAGAAAATCTTAAGCAGGCTTCATGCTCAGCATGGAACCTAATACGAAGCTCGCTCCCACAACCCTAGGATCATGACCTGAGATGAAATCAAGAGTTGGGTGCTCAACCGAATGAGCCATCCAGGCGTCCTGAGTTTATAGTCCTTATTAGGAATAGGTTAAAGGCCCAGGATCTTTTACTCCCTGTAGTATCTATGCCTGGTTTAGCTTTCTAAACTATAAAGCTACTTAAGATTTTATTCTCAATAAAATTAGGCTTTAAATATAACATTTAGCAACAGATACTTTTAAGTATCCTTAGTTTAGTATCTTCTGTTTAACATGTTTTTTGTGACTTTTCATAATTTGTTTCAGAATCCATTTATAAAATCAAATCTTAAGCCAGACTTTCACCATTCATGTAGTCTAGCTTAGTCCCCATGCAGATTTCCTTCTTGTTTTTTTTTTATTTGAGAGAGAGAGAGAAACATAGAGTTCAAGTGGGGGATCGGCAGAGAGAGAGAGGGAGACACAAAATCCAAAGCAGGCTCCAGGCTCAGAGCTGTCAGCACAGAGCCTGACACGGGGCTCGAACTCACAGACTGGGAGATCATGACTTGAGCTAAAGTCTAACGCCTAACTGACTGAGCCACCCAGGTGCCCCTGCCCAATGCAGGATTTCTTCAACTTGCCTGATTATCAGAATCACTGAGAGTATTTTATTTTTTATTTTAAGGTTTATTAATTCATTTGGGGGTGGGGGCAGGGGGAGAGAGAGAGAGAGAGAGAGAGAGAGAGAGAGAGAGAGAGAAAGAGAATCCCAAGCGGGCTCCATGTAGGCTGCGGGCTCCATGTAGGCTCCATGTAGGCTCCACAGAGCCTGATGGAGGATTTGAATTCACAGACCGTGAGATCATGGCCTGAGCCGAAACCAAGAGTCGGACGCTAAACTGACTGAGCCACCCAGGCACCCAAGAGCATTTTAAAAAATACACATTTTAGGTTCTCCACCAGTTGGAATCTTTAAGGAGAAGAGTCTAGGAATTTTTATTTTCTTTTTAACGTTTATTTATTTATTTTGAGAGAGAGATTGCGCACAAGCTGGGGAGGGGCAGAGAGACGGGAGAGAATCCATTCTAAGTAGGCTCAGTGCTGTCAGCGTGGAGCCTGATTCAGGGCTCAACCCCACAAACTGTGAGATCACAACCTGAGCTGAAATCAAGAGTTGGGTACTTAACCAACTGAGCCACCCGGGTGTCCCTGGGAATTTTTATTTTTAATAAGAGCTTTGGTAATTCTCATATCAGACACATTTAGAAGCAATTGATGATATGTGGAAAGAGTATGGTCTTTGATGTTAAGCAGATTAGTTTTAATTCTCAGATACTTCCTAACTGTAACCTAACTGTAACCATTAACATTTTTGAACTTTAGTTTCCTCATCTGCAAAAGGGATAAGGTCTGCCTCAGAGATTAGGTGTGAGAGTCAGAAATAATTTATCTAATGTCATGTGCCCACAGTAGAAATACAGCAAATTATTACTTATTACATATTTTGATATTTATGCTTTTGTGCACATTTTTGGCTAATATTTACCGTTTTCCTGGAAATCCATATAAAAGGTAATATATGCTTTCCTACTTTAAAACAAGATCCTGGTGGCTCAGTTGGTTAAGCGGCCGACTTCGGCTCAGGTCATGATCTCACAGTTTGAAGGCTGATGAGTTTGAGCCCTGCATTGGGCTCTGTGCTGACAGCTCAGCCTGGAGCCTGCTTCGGATTCTGTGTCTCCCTCTCTCTCTGCCCCTCCCCTGCTCGCACTCTGTCTCTCTCTCAAAAAAAAAAAATAAATATAAAAGAAATTTAAAAAATAAAAGTAAAACAAGATCCTGACTGTAAATCAGAATTATCTCATTGTGTTGAGGAAACATTTAATCAAAAGCAGATATTATCAGGTTGGTACACAGTCATAGTCTTAGGGGGTTCTTGAGTTATTTTGGAGTTTGAGAATCTTCTCTTTTTTAAAAATGTTTTTAAATGTTTATTTGTTTTTGAGAGAGAGAGAGAGAGAGAGAGAGAAACAGAGTGTGAGTGGGGGAGGGGCAGAGAGAGAGGGAGAGGTAGAATCCAAAGGGGGCTCCAGGCTCTGAGCTGTCAGCACAGAGCCCGAGGCTGGGCTCGAACTCAGGAACCGCAAGATCTGACCTGAGCCGAAGTCAGATGCTTAACCGACTGAGCCACTGAGGCATCCTGAGGATCTTCTCTAAATGGCACTTTATTTTAAATTTCACATGTGTGGGCTTTTCTTTTCTGTATACCTTCTTTATCTAATGGATGAACTGTAGGTTGAGAATGAGACAACCAACATTATTAGAACTATGAATAAAGTAAGAGTAGTTGGTTCTGGGTGCTGGATTTAGATCCTTGAGTTTTAAGATATTTGTTTAATCAGAGAATTTTTCGCTTAATCCTTCATTTTCAGCTTTTTTTTTTTTTAATGTTTATTTATTATTGAGAGAGTGTGTGAGAGAGAGAGAGACAGAGCGTGAGCCAGGGAGGGGCAGAGAGAGAGGGAGACACAGAATCTGACACTGGTTCCAGGCTCTGAGTGTCAGCACAGAGCCCAACGCAGGGCTCGAACCCATGGAAAGTGAGATCGTCACTTGAGCCGAAGTCAGACGCTCAACCAACTGAGCCACCCAGGCGCCCCCATTCTCAGCTGTCTTACTAAAGTTTCCTGATAAGTAGTTTAACAAACATTTATCAGATTTTGTGTTAAGGTGTTATGCGAGACTCTAGGTACATAGTTATGAATAAAACACATAGTTCCTCTGTCCTCCTGGAGCTTACGGTTAAGAGACAAATTATGTCGGAGCACATTGCTGTGAAGGAGCCCGGTAGGGTGCTGTGACTGAAAATAACGTGGTTAGGGAGAAGCTCCCGGAGGAGTAACATTTAGGAAGGGTGAAAGAGTTCTGTGAAGAGCATCCCGGGTGTGGAGAACAGTAAAATAAGTCTGGCTGGCCTGAGATGCTGAAAAGCTACTTGTGAACTGCGGTGAATGTAGGGAGTTTAAGGGGACGGTGCCTTGAAATGAGGTCGGTGAGGTCCGTAGGGGCAGGAAAGGATGGTAGAGGGATTAGACTGAAACCGCATTCAGAAGGCTTTTGAATGGTGTAGATGAGATATGATGGTGGTGATAGTCTTTTGATAAAGGAGGTGCTACAGTTCTGTCTAGAGGTCATCAAATTTCGCAACTTTCCTGTGAGAGCCGGAAAAAATAGCAGTATCTGCTTTGGCTGTCTCGTTCCCATCTCATTTTCTATTTTGCTTTGTGTTCTTTGTTTTGCTTTGTAAAGAGTGAGGTCGGAGACCTGTGGCTTCCCTGACTGTAGACGCGACTGTCTTGATGACATACCTGCATTTCCTGTTCTGCCGCCACAGGGCAGCTCACATGCCAAGAGGACAGCCTGTGTCGGAAGTGGAGAGGGGCTTTCCCACAAGATCATAGATT